GCTATCATAGTCAGATTTGGATACTCTCATTTCAAAAAGTGGTCATATGGTCATGTTTAATCACAACCATTCATTTTCATTCATTCATGATGAGATAAGAGAGAGAAAAATATATAATTTTAAATGAATGTCGTTTTCTAGTTTAGTTTTGTCTCAGGAGGCGTTTGGTTGAGGATAAATTTTAAAAAATACTAGAGAAATGTAATTGATAGAGAAATGGTTGGAAAATGAGTTTGGTAGAAAAATGTAAAAAAAGTTGTTTGGTCGAAAAAAATTTACTGGGCAAATTAGGTAAGATTTATAAAATCTATGTTTGGTTTGAGGTAAAATATAGATGGGAAAATAAGTGACAATTACGAAAATATCCCTATTTTTAAAATTTTTGGAAAAATAAAAAAATTGTAAATTAGAGAGAAACGTGAAAAAAGAAAAAGAAAGATGGAATTGCGGAGTTCTTGCTAACTAATTGAAATTTCAATAAGTAAAAGTACAAAGTTGAGCAATTCATTTTTTGAAGATATCAATATTTTAGTACATGCCATCTTTACAATTGGAGCAAGGGCAGGTGCATCACATGGTGGAGTTCTAGCATCTATGGGGTTGTTGCTTCGAACGTAACCGAAAAATTTGCCTGAGTTGCCACGGTGGTGCCCGCCTCTTTGTCCATGGTGACCGCCGCGGCGGCTGTTGGTGGTTGCAGGTGGTTGCTACTGCGTAGAGACGGTGGAAAGAAAGAGGAGAAGGATCACAAAGGGGTATTTTGGTCTGCTTTATTTTCTCATTTTTCAACTTACTCAGCTATCCCCAAAAAACCACCACCAACTTCAGATTTTAAACAGTGCCAATGGCTGGCTTTCTACAACAAAATGGGAAAATGCTATGCAAATAGCATAGATGAGGAACTTCAATAAATCTCTCTATCAAACAACAACTTTCTGGAATGCCAAGTTCATTTGCATGGAAAAATTTTCAGATCTCTTCAACCAAACACCACTTTAATTTTTTTTTTGGGGCCTAATGGTCTCCCAATTAATAAAATAATAATAATAATAATAATAATAATAAAATACTAGGGGCTATGCATGTGAACCTTATAAAATTTTGGGCTTTAATTAAGCGCAAACATTAAAGAAATGCTTCTAGTCAAGTCTCAAGCCCATTACCGAGCGTTTTCGCTCACCACCTCAAACGTGTACATAACACTTTCTCCCATTTCAATCACACTACATTTTGTTTCTGGGCGGATCCAAATTTTTTTTATAATAGAATGTGAAAATAAAATTTTAAAATTATAAATAGTATTAAAATTAATAGAAGATCCTAATAATTATAAATATTTTTTAAGGAAACTATTACTAATAGTATATTATTATTAAAAAGGATTATTTTATATATATAAAATAAATTAAAATTTAGGGACAAGTGGCCCCCAATGCTACCTCTTCCTAAGTCCGCTCCTGTTTCACAAAGCAATATTTTAGGGAGCGTTTGGTAGAGGAATTTTTTTTTATACGAAAATATCGATTTTCAGAAATATGATGAAAACATTCAATTTACGATAATATTCGAAAATAAAAAATTTAAAAAAATTTAGTTTTTCAAGAATTTTATAAAATTTCTTGTACCAAACGCCCCTAGAGAAACTGGAGGGAAAATGTAGATTTCCGTGACAGTTATATTGTTATAATTTTACCGCACTTGTTTAGCTATTTCTGATGGAAAGAACCTTCAATTTGGGACGGAGCAAATTAAGATCACCAAAAAAACTAACAACCAACAATAACATCTACTTTTCCTTGTAACCTAATGACTACTTTACATATTTTTTTACTTTGTGTAAGAAGAGCATGCATACCTAAACATATATATAGAGGAATGATTCGTTTACATTTTTTTTTATAAATTTATGCAAATGGCACTATGTTTTTTAGGGAAAAGATAATGTGATTAGTATTCTCCCGAAAAAAGATAGCGTAGTTTGTAAGAATTTGTAAATAAAAAAATTTGTAAATATAACATGCCCCTATTTGTAAATAATGTGATCATGACCATATATATTATGGTCATGATCATTTTACATTAGCGTAAGTTATATTTTTAATCTTATTCATTGATCTTATTTATATTTAATTGTTGTTATTTAATATATATTTAAATCGTTAGATATAAGTAAATCAATTATCAAAATTTGATACAAAATTTCTTATTCTCTCTCTATATATAGATTAATATATTGTACAATATTATTTGGGATAGGATCTGTTTACAAACTTTTTTTGCAAATTACACTAAGTACGACCGGTCGTACACTACATGATTAAATTAGGACCAGTCGTACTTAGTGTAATTTGTAAGAGTTTGTAAATAAAAAAGTTTGTAAATATAACTTGACCCATATTATTTAACTATAGTTAACATCAAACGTGATAGAATGTCACTTGTGACGTTCAAAGAGTCTCAAGGAATGCAATATTATTTAACTCATTCAACGTCACAAGGAATATTCACAATCGATATTAATTCTAGTTAAATAATATTGGATTTCTTTCTTAGTTAAATTATAACTAGAAGCCATAGATTGTTTTGAGCAAATAAATAGTTTTCCTAGCTGTAAACAATATTTTAAAAATTAGACTTCATTCGCTCACTGTAATACGAAAAAAAAAAGTGCAGTGTTCAAAAAGCGTCAGAATTCCTTAAAATGATGCAAGAAGCGCCATAAACCAAAAACCAGTATAAAATTTGATGTTGTTATCGAATAACACCATTAAAATTAAAAATAAATAAAATAAAAATAAACAAATAAATATTAAAATAATAATAATAAACAAATAAATATATATAATATAAAATAATAATAATAAATAAATAATAAACAAATAAATAATATATTAGAAATAAAACTTCATTCTCCTAATTTTATTTTTTTTATATGTAAAGCTGATATTTTAAAATTATTTATTTAAAAGCTGTGAAGGTGTCGTTACTATGTCCAAATATTTTCTTCTAAATCTCTTCTATTCTTTTGATTTATCTATTATCTTGATTTTGAGGATTTGATGAATTTATTTATATGTTATAAGAATGATCTTGAATCAAGAATATAGAATTAATGAACTCCTTTGGTACCAAATGAATATTGCGGGATATGTAATATTTTACTGAATGATTCTGATGTGACAAACTCACAAGGGGATTGGATGGTTATAGATAAGGGACGTCTTATCATGACTTGAGCTCCGCTATACAGAACTCACAAAATTTGAGCATTAGTCGATTCAGTTAAAGATTACAAGTTTTTTATATGTTTGTATGCATGTACAAAGGTTTGGGTATGTTTATATGTAAAACCTACAAAAGTTTGGATATAACCCACAAATGTTTGGGTACGTCTGAATGAAGAACTCACAAATGTCTGTGCTTATATTTATTATTCATGATATTATTTTCTTATTATAAACATATTTGAGAGAATGATATTTTTTAGTAAAGTGGCTGGATTGGTTATAGTTCAAAAGTCCTAAAATTATTGAGATTTTTCTCACGTGTATTTATATTTTTGCTATCCTTTTCAGAAAATAAGCATGCTAGTATGTATAGTTTTGGAATAAGATAAAACACTAAAATTGTACGGAGTTCAATGAAGCAACTGATAAAATAAAAAAATGTATTTCTTTTCAGTTTAGATTATAATATATTGCATATGTAATAGTAAACTTAAATTCAGTATAATTAAATTTTAAAAATATTTTATCACATATCTTAGTTTTTATTCGCTACATTATAATCTCATTATAATTCTCATTCTTTTATTTAAAATAAGATTTAAGAAGTAATATGCTAGGGTATAAAAGATGTTACGCTCATAAACCGATTATATTGGTTTGAACAATATTCAAGTCAATTACGGTTCAACTACAAATTTAATCGTTTGAATTAATTGAATCATGACTCGAAGGCGTCGTTGGTTCAATCACTCATTCAGTTTTCAACATCGGCTTGAATTCTAACTTCTTGTTTATTTATTTATAAACAAAAACAGCAGGGTGTACCTAATTCATTGCAGTACATCTCGCTTATACGTAGGGTGGTAAATGAATCAGTGTCTTTCGGTCGACTCGTGAAGGTTTGAGCTTATATATTTAAAATTGGTTATTAGAATCATACTTGAACTTGTATAAAAGCTCGTTTAATAAAAAAAGTCTCATGCTCCAATTCAAAAGCTCGACCTTAGAACCTCCCAGACAGGCCTAATATATTAATTTTTATTTTTATTTTATATTTTTTATACTACTTTTAGTAACCTCTTTTTCTCCTCAATTCATTTTATCTCATTTTATTGGTTAAACAATTTTTTTGAATGAATTTTTTCTATATTATGCTATTTAGATGTATATTAAATTTATGAATATCTATAGAATTACTAATGCTGTTGATTGTATATTTTATTTGTATAATTTTTTTTTTGTCTTATTTTTTTTAAACAGGCTAAATCAGACTTTTATTTTTTGTAAATAAGTCCGGCCACAGACCGGTAATTATATTCATAACAAGTAATAGGCTTGTCAGGCTGACAGATTTAAACACAGACTTAACTTTTTAAGACCAAAGCTCGGCTCGGCCCATTAACACCCCGACGCTTGTTATTATTATGTTTCATTCTCTCTTTTTAAAAAATATATATTTTTGAAATATATACATTTTGGGGATCGATGTACTAATTAAGGGGTACATATATAGAACTCTATTCTTTGTGTAATGACTGCAAATGGAAAATTGCCCAATATTCATCATGACTGCAGGTGACATACAAGAACAAAGGTAAAGTAAAGTGAAAAAATTAATTTCGCTTCAACAACAAAAGAGTAATGAAAAAAACAAAGGAAGAAATAAAACAACTACTAGTTTTCATTAAATCATTATTCAATATCAATAATATACATTGTCTTGTCTTCATATCAGATAAAAAAAAGAAAAAGAAGAAGATAGGAAGCCTGAAATTAAAAGAATCAAATAAAAAAAAAAAAAAGGAAGCGGAGGAGACGGGAGGCATGACAAGACTCGTAGCATCCTGAGAAATCCTCCAATGGAGCACTCCTTCTACTCCTAAATCCAAACTAAGAAGGTCCATTCCAATATTAAAATAATCACTTTCACTTGACACAAAAGGGTCCATACATGCAACCATATACATACATAGAAAAGTTGATAGACAGACATGCATGTTAAAATTTCCTGTTCCTCAATACTTGAGACACAAAAGGTCCATTCCAATATTAAAATCATCATCACTTTCACTTGACATGTACAAAAGGCTCCATACATGTCCATACATGCATGCAACCATATACATACATAGAAAAAGTTGATAGACATGCATGTTAATTTCCTGTTCCTTAATTTCTCAAAGATAGGATTCATCATAGGTAAGCTCAGATGCATTAGTATTATGAGGCTTTGCACCATACCTCTTCTTATGATCACCCGCACCGCACGTGATCGAAAACTCACACCCTAACGCCGTTCCAAAACACGAAAACAACCCATTGCCACGTCCACCACCACCACCACCCTTTCTTTGCTTCTGACCTTTAACAACCTTCGGCGTTTGCTTCACCTTCTTCTGATTCTGCCCTAAGTGATCATAAACCGGCGGCAACTGCTCCGTCGATCTCCACCGTTCAATCTTCGTCTTCAGCCCCTCCTCACCACTATCCTTCTCCGACCAATCCTCAAGCACCGAGTTCCCAACCTTCCGCGGCGCCGGCAAAGGCATCGGATACAACCCCTTCGCTATCGCCGCCGCCACCACCGACGGAGACGGCCCGACGTCAGAGCAGAGCGAGCCGTTCGCGTTAACAATCCCACCTTTCTTCGTTATCGGAACACCAATATCAGAAGCCCCTTGGTCATCACCACCCCCACCACCACCGTAACCGTAACCATAACCGCCGTAACCACCGTAACCGTTTTGTTTTGTGGGGTGATAGGTGTAATCATTGATTGTTGAATCGTTTTTCTCGCTCTGAGACCGTTGGAGCGTGAAGAGCTTATTGGAATAATCATGATTCGTAACGGTTTGGTTTTCGTGATATTGTTGTTGTGGCGTTTGGTTGTTTGGTCTTGGTTTCTTTGGGTCCATTATATCCCAATATCCAACGGCGGAAGTGCTGAGTTCTGAATACATAGGCATGCTTCTCATTGTGGCGTCGACGAGGTTAACACCAATGTTGAGAATCCCTTGTGGACGACCAGAGGGTCGACGAACCTGTAATGCGATGAACTTCACCTTCGATGATTTCCGGTTGTTCGATCTCGCCGACGGTGGTAAGAGGTTGCTGACGAGGACGCCGACGGTGCCGATCAGAACATCTCGGAGCCATGCGGAAGCGTAGATCTCGATCATGATGCATGAGTCTTCGGCTTGGAGGAACTCGTCGTCGACGCGGAACACGAACTTCTCGTTCCATGTTGGGTTGTTGTGGCCATCTGGGTCTATTTGTGTTGTTAATTTGCGTTCTGGGTTCAACCATGCGACCGCATAGGCTTTGATGGACTTGCCAACGGGGGAAAGATCCTGTGCGGATATGATATTGACTTCTAGAAGCTGGAATGGGGGTGCAAGCATAGACATTATTGTTAATGTTATAATGCGTTTTGTTTTTGAATATTGATAATGGGAGAAAAAAATTTGAAATTATTATGGAAAATGACGATGGAATGGATGGGGAGCTAGCCGGTGTTGGTGGCTCGCCCACCGCACCCTAAAACGCCAAATGAAAAAAAAAGGGGGGTTTCTTTCTGTGGTGAACAATAACACCTTTGATTCATTATATTGGAAAGCTAAGGATGGCACCTTTTATTTATGGGTTATGCCTCGTGGCCACATGTTAGGATTCGAGCATAAAAGTTGGGATGAGGAGAGGTGGTTGTTTAAAAAAAACAAATTGGTTTTAGACCCTCTCGTTTTTTGTTTTTGTTGTCTTTTGTGATTGAAAAATAACTTCGGAAACATGGGTTTGTTGAATAATTTTACTTCTAGACCAAGTTTTTGTATCCTCTGTAAAATAAAGGTAGGAAATATGGGTTGGGAAAAACTAACCATGGAAACATCTTTACAAGTTATATAATACAAACGCTTTTCATAAAAAATGATAACCAGTCAAGCTTTTTCATATAACATGTTATGTATATTTTTTGGTTGAAAATACGTTACTTTTTTTATTACAGAGAAACAAGTTGACGATGAAGGAAATTCCCTAATTATAAATAATATTAATTAAAGAGATTATAATATACGAAAAATGTTATACTTACAACTTATTTTTTGTTTATAACATTTTACAACCATATCTTAACCGTTGATTTTCGTCAATCAACGGTTATCATTCAATGCAAATTAAATATTAATTAATAAATTTGATTTGCAAAAATAATAATCGTTAATCAACTATTAAGATATGGTGCTAAAAGTTTGTAAACAAGATCATTTATAGCATACCAACTCATATGCTAATGGGTGTTTTATTTGAGTTGAGCAATTTAACGTTATTCTTTCATTTTGACTGGATACACACACACACACCTTATTTTTGACATGATTATTGTTATGTTTATTATTATATTTTTTACCTAACTCAAGCAACAAAGATAAAATTAATGAAATAAGAATGTTAGTTGGCAAAAAATTTCTCATTCAAAAGTTATCAGGAATACTCAATAATTACTTAACGAGAAAGGTTATATTTACAACTTTTTTTTTATAACCTCTTACAATTATATTTTAATACTGTTGATTTCTGCCAATAACGGTTATCATTTATTGTGAATTAATAATTAATTAATGAGTTTAATTTGCGAAAATCATAACCGTTGATTGACGAAAATCAACGGTATTAAGATATGGTTGTAAAAGGTTGTAAAAAAAAAATTGGAAGTATAATCTTTCTCTTACTTAATAGTTAAAAAATAAAACAATGCAAAGACTCATGACCTTTCATGTAAACTAAATTAATGACATGAACTACCACCCCAATTAAACATTAAATTAGAAAAAGATTAATATGTTTGACTAAATTATTAACCTGACATCAGCATGCCACAGATAGAATAGCTTTCTTGCTTTCTTTCTTTTATCATACTTTGACGTGTTGCTTGTTTCATTCGGCAGATAGGATTAGGAATGAAAAAGCAGACCAAAAACCCAACTCCCCAAATTCCCCATTTCTAAAGTTAATAGCTAACAAAGCAACCAATATATAAAATGCCAATGTGGTTTTCTCCAAACCAATGTCTCAAAACAACGAAATTAAATGCTACCGCTGAAGGGAAAACCATCTCCCAAATGGATATTTCCCATCATTCCACCATCCTCTTCAGCTGCCTCACTTTCTTGCTCTTCCTACCTTCTTCCAAACCAATTTCCGATTATAGCACATTAGTCTACAAAACCTGTGCAACCCAAACCTTCAACCATCAACTATCTCAATCTTATTCTCAAACACTCTATTCCCTATTCCAACAACTCATTTCACAATCCTCCCATCACAAGTTCTTCAAAACCATGGAACTTGTCAATGATGACACAGCCATCTCTGGCCTTTTTCAATGTAGGGATGATATCAGCAAAGAAGATTGTTTCACCTGTGTAAATCTTCTTCCTCATATGTCAAACACTTTGTGTAGTGACTCCACATCAGCACGGGTACAACTTCACGGTTGCTACATTCAATATTACACTGATCAGAAGCTTACAGAAAGAAGTGATTATCAATCTAAAAGTAGCAATATGCTTCACAAGGTCTGTGGGGAACCCTCTGTGGCTTATGATGACAAGTTTAGAGAGTTAATGGACGAGGCATTTGTTGCTCTGGAAAGTGAAATTCGGAACAGTGATGGGTATTATAGCATGAATTATAAATCAGTGAAATTGATGGCACAGTGTGCTGGTGATTCAGAAGCTTGTGAATGTAGTAAATGCGTTAGCAATGCAGTGCAAGTTGTTATGGAAGAATGCGCTAGTTCACTTTCAGCACAAATATATTTCGACGAGTGTTTTGTAAGCTATACATACCAGCCAGAATTAGATGGCGTTCCTCGAAACTCTGTTCCAGGTAATTATTAAATTGCAAAGTCTAATTTATGAACAAAATATCTATATATATGTAAAGAAAAATAAAATAAAATAAAAACACAAATACAAAGGTGACTTCTTCCAAAGACTTTTTAATTCCCCAATCATACAATATTTACAAAATTTTCATTGAAAAAAATAAAATGTAAGTTTTGGGTTGCTTCGTATTACTTTATCTAGTCCACTAGACATGTGAATTCTTACTTAGATATTGTAAATTATAATTGCAGAAAAATATTATGTAAAAATTATTTTTGTTGCCTTTATTATGCATAGTTAATTACTTATTAATTATATACGAAATTAATGAATACAGGAGCAAGCAGAAACAACACCACCGAAAAGTTGGCGGCAATAGTTGTTGGAGGGGCTGCAGCTCTGTTTTTGGGTTTTATTTTGTTATCGATGCTTAACTAGGTTGTCGGAATTATTTGTAATAAGATATTGGCTACAATGGAATAGGTCTTATCAATAAAATTTCCATTTATCTGAGATTTAGGCATGGGTAGCAATCTATTCTATGAATTTTTTAATTATTTCTCGCGTGAGAAAATAATCCCACAAACAAAGGAATTGTACAATACAGTAACGTAAAAACACACACATTAATCAAATTTGTTTATTTTAAGGCCCCGAAGAGGGGGTTCTTTTATAATTTGATAAAAAGGAAAAACTTTTTTCTTTTTTAGTTGGAATTGATTGTATGCGCCTACCCGGGAATATGAATGACTCATTATTCACTCGGTTTATGCAGCATAATCATTATGTGGGAGAGATGGCCGAGTGGCTCAAGGCGTAGCATTGGAACTGCTATGTAGGCTTTTTGTTTACCGAGGGTTCGAATCCCTCTCTTTCCGCACCTTTATCAAATTCATCGATGTTACTGACCCAATGTTTCAAGTAACAACGGATACTGCTATTCAAACTTTCTTTCATGTGGAAGAAAGGGTAGGCAAGGAACGAAAATATTCCTATATCCATGTCTATGATATAGGAATGGTATTTGCAAACCAACCCATTTACCATCTATTATTTGATTGACTAATCCCTTATATTGGAATGGGTGAAGAGTCAAATGATTTGGCAATTCCTCACGAGGGGTTGAATCGAGATAATTTTGAATCAGAGTTAATGATTTTTGTTCATCCCTTGCTGTAATAATATCTCGAGATTTGCAACGATAACTTGGTATATCTACTATACGACCATTGACTAAAACATGTCCGTGGTTAACTAATTGACGGACTTGGGGAATAGTCGAAGCCATACCCAATCGAAAAAGTATGTGATCCAAGCGCATTTCAAGTAATTGTAGTAAAACCCTATTGGTTGACCCTTTAGCTTTTCCGGCTATACGAACGTATTTAAGCAATTGTCGTTCTGTAAGACCATAATGAAAACATAATTTTTGTTTTTCTTTTAAACGAATACGATATTGAGATTTTTTACCGGAGCGCGATTGGTTTCTAAGTTCGCTTCCCACTGTAGGTCTTTAACTAGTTAGTCCTGGTAGAGCCCCCAAACGACGTATTTTTTCGAAACGAGGTCCTCTGTAACGTGACATAAAGACTCCTTTAAAAAATGCATATCATACAGAAAGTTTATAGTTAAATTATCTACATTCACTCTCAAAATGACGTCATTTTGAGTTAAAAAATTAAAAAAATTATAATGAGAAAGACTATTATAACCCTGAAATAAATTATAATTACAAGAATACATTGATTTCCGCTCCAAAATAAAGTCATTTTGAGCTCAATGTAGATAACTTATCTATATTGACAGCAGAAAAAAGAATCCTTTTTTATTTATTTTTTATAGTAATTATCTTTCTTATATTTATGTTCTTCATTTTTCTTACTTATTTAGTTCACATGTTAAAAAAATAGGATTTTTTTTTGTTGTATGTGTTTTATTTTACTAAAAAATCCAAAAAAAAAGGAAATTTTTTTTTACCTTCTCTGCAAAACAAATTTCTCTGTCGTATAGTTAGGGGTGTAAATAGAATGGGCCGAGCTAAGTTTTGGCTTAAATAGGCTAGGCCTGTGAAAAATATTTAGGCCTGACCTAGTCTGTTAATTTGTGTATGCCCAAATTATAATATGGTTTGACCTATATTTAAAAAACAAAAGCCTACGGTTGGGGATAACTTGAAGAAACTCAAAAAAAATAATAAAACAATTGGCCTAAATCTGTTAGCTTGTTTAAGCCTATTAGGCATTCAATAATTTCAAAAAATAAATAAAATAATACCACTTAATTATTCAAAATTATTAAAATAATAATTTATTTATTTTATTTAAAATAAATAATATGATATAGGTCATCCAATAGGCTTATAGGCCCTTTTTAAATTTTTTTTAGGCTTGTGTTTTTATTTGATTATGTATAATAGGTCCCTGTTAGGTCGGCTGACCTATTTACACTCCTAGGCCCATACTCATATAAAAATGAATAGATCCCGTTATAAAGAAAAGAAAGATAAAATATTAATTGGAGTCAATCACTTTCATGCGAGTGTGGTAGAAGTTTTGTCTCCTATTTACACCTCTCTTTTAAGTCCCCTAATGGAGATGTTTTGTCTCATCCCCCTCCTTTCCCTTCTATATAAGTTCCTCATTATGTGTTTTGACATCTAATATTCATTCAAAAGTTGAAAAAAAATACTTGAGTTTAATAATAAGCTTATGTTATAATATAGTTTTTTAGGAGAGTTGGGGTGACTTTCAACTATCTGACTCCGTACATCAAATTTTGTCTCTTTTGAGGTAAATTTACTTATCTTCTCTTTTTAGTTAATAATTATTTTATTTTATGAATTTATGCTTTTAATCTTTTCTTTATTTGTTTAATTTTCTACATTGATGAACTAGGCAGCTGCTTATAATTTGGTATGTGTTTTACATTAATTTAAAAGAAATTAATTTAACTGAGACGACTCATTAATCTCATATTTTTTATTTAGAGTTAATTTAGTTATGACAGCTTAGTGATTTGAAATTTTCTTTGAAAATTAATCATTGTCTTTCTCTTTTCTTCAGAAAAAAAAACAAAAAATAATGTTGAAAAACTAGTTTTGTTTTCAAGAATTAATTGAGCAGGAACAACTTATTAATTCTGTAATTTTATTTAGGTTATCTTGGCTGCAACATCATGATGATGTGAAATTCCCAAATTCAATTATATAAATTTCGAAGAAACAAAATTCTTTCAAAGTATTTTCAAAAGTAAAATTAATCAACACGATTTTTAAAAAATTACGTAGTTTTGAATTTTCCATTACATAAGAGGAAATATTGGAGCTTATCTCGTCAAGTTAAAGATCATAATCACACTATCAAAGTTCATATAAATTTTACCTATTTCTAGGGATTAAAATTATGCTATCAAGATTCATATAAAGCTAACATTTGACTCTCTAGGGATTAAGATCACCTGAACTTCGTGTTTAATGACTTCCTTGGATGAAGAGTGATTAGTGAGGGGAGCGAAATTGGTAGCCTAAGAAAATAATAATAGAAAATAAAAAATTTGGAAATAAGACGAAAGAGGAGAAGAGGAGAGGAAATGAAGAGGTGCTAAGGATGGGAAATGATTTGGTTTGTTGAGGTTAAGCCCTCGTTTATAGCTGAAGATTTCCTTCTCAGGTTGGGCTCATGATATGGGCTTTATAAAATTTGTTTCATTTTCTTCCTGAAATTATTTATTTTCTTTTCTTCTTAGGAATATTTGTTTCCTTTTCTTCTTACGATTTTTTCCTTTTATTTATCTTATGGGCTCATGATATTATATCCTCTTGTTTATATTATTTATAGAATATTGCTGACTCATGTCTGACTCATACTTATTAACTAAGATATTTTTGAATCAATATTAAGATACACATATTGGATACTATTTTTATTTTTATTATTACTATTTATTTTATTTTATTAATTTTATTATTATTATTACTATTTTTTCTGGCCTATTACAGTAAAAATTACTGATAATTTTTAAAAATATTCACTTTGCTTTTCAAACATAAGAATTATTATGAGAGAGACTAAATTATATTAAGGTGGGATATTGTAACAACCAATTAGTGTTACTACCAATCAATTTCACCGTTAGATCAATTATGTTGATCCAACGATTATATTTATTTCCATATTGGTATGGTTTTGATTTTCCGTATTTAATGTGAAAGCATTAAATAGGAAAAATCATAACCATACAAAGGTGAAAATAAATATAAAGTTTTAAATATGGAGAATCATAACCATATAAAGATGAAAATAAATATAATCGTTGGATCCACATAATCGATCTAACGGTGAAATTGATTGGTAGTAACATTGGTAGTAATACTAATTAGTTGTTACAATATCCTTCTCCTTTAATAATTTAGTCTCTCTCATAATAATTCTTATGTTTGAAAAGCAAAGTGAATATTTTTAAAAATTATCAATAATTTTTACTGTAATAGGCCAGAAAAAATAGTAATAATAATAATAATAAAAGATAATAATAATAAAATTAATAAAATAAAATAAATAGTAATAATAAAAATAAAAATGATTTTAATATGTGTATCTTAATATTGATTTAAAAATATCTTAGTTAATAAGTATGAGTCAGCCATGTCCTATAAATAATATAAACAAGAGGATATAATATCATGAGCCCATAAGAGAAATAAAAGGAAACAATCGTAAGAAGAAAAGGAAACAAATATTCCTAAGAAGAAAAGAAAATAAATAATTTCAGGAAGAAAAGAAAACAAATTATATAAAGCCCATATCATGAGTCCAACTTGAGAAGGTAAACTTCAGCTATAAATGAGGGCTTAACCTCAACAAACCAAATCATTTCCCATCCTTAGCACCTCTTCATTTCCTCTCCTCTTCTCCTCTTTCGTCTTATTTCCAATTTTTTTATTTTCTATTGTTATTATTTTCTTTGGCTACCAATTTCGCTTCCCCTCACTAATTGCTCTTCATCCAAGGAAGTCATTTAAACACGAAGTTCAGGTAATCCTAGAGAGTTAAATGTTAGCTTTATATGAATCTTAATCCCTAGAAATAGGTAAATTTTATATGAACTTTGATAGTGTGATTCTGATCTTTAGGTAGTAATAGAAAATTTTTATATTAAATTTGTTATTTGCAATATTGATTAAAGTTGTCAAAATGGGTCAGCCTGTCCCATTTTACCCTAGCTCGTGTGGGTAGGGCCAAATGAACCTCAATAATCAAAGCCTGCACGGGCAAAAAGCCTTATTGGCCAGGGCCAGCCCATAGGCCATCCAAAATTATAATTTCATAATTTTTTTATCATATTCAATATATTTAAAAATATTTTAACAAATAAAATTTTAACACTTTCTTAACATATTTTATACAAATTATAAATTTTTTATAATATAATTTTTTAATAAAATAATATTTGTACGTAAATATACAAGCCAAAATGTAAACAAAATTTTAATATAAGTGAAAATTTAGTTACTACTTTTACTAAATTCATTATTAAATGAAGCCATCAAATAAAGATTTTCTCACCTGGAGTCATAACAGAATACAACAATTATAATGAAAAATTAAAAGTAATGATGCAAAAATTATCTTAATACCATTATTGAATAATTTATCTTAGTATGCTATATATTTGAAAGTAAAATCATTGATTTTCTTTAACTACTATCGTTACAAAAAACTTTTTAGTTGTTATTATCCACACAATTATTAAAGTGCTTGTATACAATATGTTTTAATACAAATTTGGATGTATAACATGCTTAAATGTCAAGTGAAAATTTTATTTTTATTAATGCGCAGATGAAAATCTGTGTCAAAACATATCTCTACTAAAAAATTCAGTTTTGTTGTAAAATATTATGGATGAACTTTACATGGTTCATAACACGTGACTCTTTGATTTTCATTACCTTTGATATATTTTATAATCATCACACTAATGGTGTGTTGAATTGTAGAATATATCCAAAGGGGTACCATAAAATATTATGGATGATCTTTCACATAGTTCATAACACGTGACTCTTTGATTTTCATGACCTTTGATATATTCTATAATCATCACACTAATGGTGTGTTGAATTGTAGAATATATCCAAAGGGGTACCATAAAATATTATGGATGACCTTTCATATGGTTCATAACATGTGACTCTATGTTTTTTCATGACTTCCATTTTTAAAAATGCATCTAAGATATGTCTTTATATAAGACTCTTTGCTCACACTTATTCTTATTTTATTATTTTATTCTTTTTTTCTTACACTTCATTTTCCTTCCTTTCATATTTCACTTTCTCTTATATTCTCCATCAAATTCACAATAATTTTCACTTATATTTATAAATATTTAATTTTATATAATTTTTAGTTTTTAAAATTAAGAAAATTTTGATGAAAGAAAAAATTTGGCCCGCGGGCTAGCCCAAACCCATCCCGCTAAATTATAGGGCTTTGAGGGTTAGCGCTAAAAAAGGCTCTACCACAAAAATGCCCTAACGGGTTAGGGCCAAATATAATGTTTTACGGGCTGACCCGCGGGTTTTAACACATTTTACACTTCTAATATTGATCCTTAGGGTATTATAGGTTAATTCGCTCATGTGATTTGTTTTCATATATATTTTTTTAGTAATTTTATACATAAAAAATGTTTGATTTTAACTTTAACATCCAAATAATGTATTTAGTCAAAAGTGTTTTTCATGTGTTATATCCAAATGCAATATGACTTTAGCTTTTAAAAAAAGAAAAAAAGTTTTAAAAAAGGGTTCACTTTTTTTGCAGTTACTGCAGATAAGTTATCTGCAGTAAGCCTAATGTAACGTCATTTTGGACAGAAATCATGGTATTTTTGTAATTTTAATTTATTTCAGGGTTATTATAGTCTTTATAATTATAATTATTTAATTTTTCAATCCTAAAATGACGTCATTTTAAAAATAAATGCAGATAACTTATCTGCAGAAATATTTTTCTGTTTAAAAAAACCCGAATGGTTTTCTTTTGAATCACTTAACCACCTATACTTTTCTTTTAATCACTTACACCCTTGTGATATTTAATCCAAGTCCTTACTTAACATTATTAAAAATTTGATAAATTTACCTATTCTACCCTTTATATCATCTTTTTCCTCAAGCTTTGCAAATGTTTCTAACTATACATTCAAATTTTCTTTCATCATTCAGTTTCTAATTTTTTTTGTGAAGTGCCACATGACTGGTGATAAGAATATAAAAAACAGTTGTAATGAGATTTTAATCAAAATAATTTTTATTAAAAGGGCGGGATAAAATTACCACCAATTAAGTTTACCATTTCTTATCGTCAAATCGTAACTGTTGATTTTTGCTAATACAACAGTTATAATTTATTGAGAATTAATAACTAATTAAAAGTGTCATCCAATAAATTATAACTATCATATTGACGAATATCAACAGATAAGAATTGGTGGTAAACTTAATTGGTAATAAACTTAATTGGTAGTAAATGAATTCCTTCCCTTTATTAAAAATAAAATTTACAAACAGAGCCAAATACCAAAGGCGAGAAGCCAAATTTTAACCAAAGTGCTTTTTAAAAAAATTTAAATTATGAAAAGCAAATTTCCTTTCCCTCACACACACTTTTCCCTTTAAATAATCATATATTTTGTTTTTCTCCCATATTTTACTTACGCTTTTCATCAATTCATATTTCATCGAAAGTCGAAAAAAATTCAAAACCAACAATCTACACACAAAAATAAAATAAAAATCAACAATTATAAAATTCCATCCAACGAGCATGTAACACGTCACCCAGTGCACAACACCTTTTTATAGCCCACCGTACTGGATAGCATGTAACTATCACGACCCAATAGACTCGGCGACTCTATGATTTCCGCTATGGGAATGATGCTCTCATTCACGTGGTATGAAGTTACATAGAGAAGCCCTATATAAGTATAAATCAACCGTTATAGTTATTTTTTGATTTTAATGCATTTATTCCATTATCACGATTGATTTATATTTAGACGGTTGAGATTCTTTTACAAAATTTACATTTAAATGTTTGAAATCTTTTCACAATCTGAACGGTTGAGATCCTTTCATAGGATCTAATATAAATGGGAAAAATGTTTGTCATTTTAAATGACACAAAGTTATGTCATTTTTAATAAAACTACGTTATTTTGGTAAGTTTTTACATTCTCTCTCCTCCATTTTCTTTTTATTTCTAATTTTATAAATTAGAGAAAATGAATAAACACACCAAAACGACATAGTTTCATTAAAAATGACATAAAGTTGTGTCATTTAAAATGACTAAAACTAAACCCAATATAAATATACTATTGAGATCATTCTATAATTTAAACGGCTGAGATCCTTTAACATTACCTAGTATAAATATCAAAGTATGCATTTCCATTTCCCTAGTTATAACCACGCATGTATCTTCTCTAATTCTCCGAGTGGTTTTTGTGGCAGCACAATGCGCATTCTCATCCTTCGTTTTCTGACGGTTTAGGAGTTTGGACTCTTGGCTTTACTCTACATTGCTTGCATGATCAGAATGCTTTTCTGTTTTCTCGGGAAAATATATATAATCCGCTGAGTTTCCGTGTTGTTCAAGGGAAAGGTAACATGCTGTTGATCAAAGTTTTATCGCTTTCGCTGCTCTTACTCTTCTTTGAACTTTTCTTCTGAAGATTCTCCTTCGCCAAATAGCTCTTGAGCTACATGCATTTTCGTTTCCTTTGTTTGATTGTGTATGCAAAACCTCTTTCATTTTTTCTTTCTTTCTTTTATTTTAGTTTCGATTATATCTAATCATTTCGCTTATCAGAAGAACCGAATAATTTTTTAGATGAATGATTTTGGAGTGAATGTGATGCAGGGATGAAGTTTGTTTTGTTATACTTTTTTCTCCCTGAGAAAAATATAATTTCTCATTTTTCATTTTTTTTTATATTTTTATATTTTATTTTTTATGTATATATATTATTTTTTTATTATTTATTTTTTTGTCAGCTAAACGTAAAAAGTTTGAGATTAAAGAAATGATGACGTTGTTATCGAACAATTATATAATATTTATAAAATTGAATAAGGATTATAAAATGTTTTATAATAATCTATAATTTTGTTTAATTTGATTTTGTAAATTAAATAATTTTTACTTTATATAAAAGAATTTATTAGCCGTTTTCTTCTCTTCTAGAAACGCCGTCTCTGTTTTCGAAAAAAAAGAAAAAAGAAACCCCGTCTCAAACCGCGATAATGGTGGTTTGAACCAAATTCTTTTTTCTTTTTACTGTTAGAGAGGTTAGTAATTGTATGGATTGTGCTGGTTTTTGGGGTTTCGTTTTGAGGGGAAATACGTAGCTTCAAACAAAGCAATTTACGGTTACAAGTATAGCACCTTACTGTTTGAAAACGGAACAAATTTTGGTTACAAAAGAGGTGAACCTCCTTGTTGGGGTGGGAAAGAGTGAGATAAAGTGCAGTGAGAGCACCAGTTAAGTTGGCTCAATGGGTAGGATCCAATATCACAAAAAGTTGTTGGGTTTGTCTCCAGTTGCAGACTGGATATTCATTGGAAGGTTATTTGTAAGTATCACTTTAAGTCTCTTTGTTAAGACTTGCCCCAATCTACCTCTCCTGCCCTAAAATTTTACATTCCAAAAAAAAAAAAAAAGCAGTGGAAACAATTTATGAAGAATTTGATTCTAGGATCAATATACATTCTGCCATATCTTACTATATATTGGTTTCTGGAGTTCTGAATCCGAATTTTGAAACCTTTATTTAACTGCTTACTGCAATATATCACTTTGGCACCACTCTTCCGTTGTTTTAATGCAGAACTTGGTCATGAATTGATTTCTGAAGGTACATAAATGCTTTGTTGTAGGACACTTTAAGATATTTTGGTGGATGGAAGCATCGAAAAATTGGGTAAGGCTCTTCTAAATAGGTTTGTCTTTAAAGTGAACAATTAAGGATATATTCTCCCTTGGATTTTAGTGGGTCAAAATCACGAGGTACTTTATATTAAATCGGATGAATCCATTCTCGTGCACTTTAAAGACAGACAAACTTTAAAAAGAGCTTTTTGCCGAAAAAAAAGATGTTCATTAGAGGACTTGACAGATTGGGAGACTAGTAATCAAAATAAGAGATATTTCATAACATTCTAACTACCATGAGTTTTTAACAAAACTCAAATGCAAAAGCTACCAAAAAAGGCCTCTAAGGTAGGCCTTCATATTTGAAGTGTCTAGAATGGCATTGTGTTTAATTTAGTAGCAAATAATAAAAAAAAAACCTTAACAGCAAAATGTTGTGGATTGACTTGACTGAAGTCATGTCAGGTCATTGGGATGGGCAACCAATCTGTACCCAAATGTACCATAGAAATTTGATGTTATTTTGTTTTTTTAAATTCAAGTGTAGCAATGTGTACATCCTGGATACTATATGGGTATGATAGCAATGTAGGAGTAGAATGCATCTTAGGTTCCCTGATTATGTTTTCTTAGATATTTCCAAATCTTTGATTGACATAAATGGAAATGACATGAATGCAAAATGTTGCTATTTTGTATTTCCTTGTATTTATTTTGTTAACATATCTAAATTGAATTATATTGTGCATTTGGAATTTGTTGCTAGTGGGAAAGCTTTCTTCTACAAAGCATGGTTTGCACTTTTTAATTTTTATTTTATTTTATGCAAATACAAATTGAAATAATGCAATAATTAGAATAATATTTTATAAACTTATAATGTTGCTATTTGTATTTCCTTGTATTTATTTTACTAATATATTTAAATTGAATTATACTGTGCATATCAGACTTTGTTGCTTGTGGTAAAGCTTTCTTCTACAAAGCATGTTTTGCACTTTTTACTTTCTTTTTCTTTCTTTTTTAATTTTTTTGAATTTTATGCAAATACGAACGAAAATACTGCAATAATTAAAATAATGACTTTTTTAAACTAATGCTAACTTTTAAAAAATTGATTCTCTCTTTCAATTAAAGATTTGTGCTTTTATGCTAATTCTATACTGATTTTATATGTTACACCATGTCATATCCTGTAATTTAAAAAATTTAATGTGACTTCATATCCCGTATGACATCCATGTCTCGTATCGCATCCGTGGCCCATGTTGTTTTCATGCTTCCTAGGCTTTCTTGTACATCTGATTGGCATGGTAACTAGCAAGCACTGTAGTTGTATCAATCAAAGGTGCGAGCTTGGTTGTGGTGTCATAGTTTAAGGAATTGTTCTTGTTCTTTTTGCAAGCCAAGGTATTGTGACTAGGGTTGGCATTTTGGATTGACATGATACTATACGAATCTGACATAAACACGAATATACTCAACATGAACACAACACAAATTTTAATTCGAGTCAAAATCTTCAATACGAATACAACCTGCAAATTTTGCGGGTTGACACGACACAACGCGAAAAGCACAAGTACAGCTACAATTACAACTTTACAAGGTCAAAATGGTAATTAATCAAAAAATGCAGGTCAAATTCGTGTTTGCAGGTTGATACGCGACACAATACGAATTTTTGCATGTTATATTTTGCCAACATGAGCACGATATGAATTTAAATATGGATCAACTCGAGCACGAATTTTCGTGTCGTGTTGTCACCCCTAATTGTGACAATCACCGAGCCTTTTTGTCTCATTGAAGGCCAAGGTCTGAGGGGTCTTACAATCTATTTATCCCGAACTTGTTTTGGTAAATCCTATTCATTTGAGTTTGTGCAAGACTCATGTCAGTTTGCTTCTTCCTGTTCCTCTTGCTTTTTATTACTTCCTTCTCCTTTGCCTTAAAACGCACTTTGAATTTATTGAATGACATTAGAACATTGATCCCTAACTACGATGCTGGGAAAAGCCTTACAAAAAAAAAAAAACACAGATTTATTTAGTATGTAAGAATTGGAGCACTTTGCTTAAAATGATAGTGTGTGATTCCTCCTATCAACAATTTCCCTTGGTAGAAAATCTGTAAGTACTACTTTTAACCCTCACCAAGACTAATGACTCGCCCTTGCCTTGGAACGCAGTGGCCTAGCCTTCTCCTAGTCTTTTACTTCTCAAAAATGTGTTTTTCCTTTAATTCTCACGTTAATTGTTATTCTGTTTTCTATGTAGAAAGTTGCTAAAATCATGATATTTCAGTGCAGTAGTATTAGATCAACATATATCAATTCACTGAAATAACACCTTAAATTTGTATTATCTTTGATATCATATGTACAGCATATTGAGAAAGATGTCACCTAGCATCTTGTCCTTATTCCTATTCTTTGATGTTTTTCTTTATTTTTATTCTCATATAAATTCTGTTCTAAAATTCTGATAGTAATGTATTTGCTTTTGTTTGTTCTACAATAACTTTCTTTTGAATGCATGGAACCTCTCTAAGGTGTTGTATTCTTATCTCATTTTGCTATATGCAGGAAAAAAAGGTTAATTACCGAGGCATATAAAGTTCAAGTTGATAGTGAGTTTTGGTAGAAGACCATTTGGAGGAGCACAAAGTCTTGCGTAGATGTTGCTGCTTTGTTAGTATTGAATTGTGCGACAAATACATTTGGAACTATCATGGCTCTTAATCCAAGAGTTACTAAGGCCTTCGATGCTATGGGGGCCTTAGGAATTTCTTGTGAAGAGGTGAAGCCAGTGTTGAAAAATTTGTTAAAAGTGTACAATGGAAAGTGGGAACTTATTGAAGAAGACAATTATCGGACACTAATAGACTCATATTTTGAGTTGAAGGAAGATAAGGTCTCTCTAAACATCTTTAACTGTTACAAGCTTATTTATATTTTTAAACACTGATTTGATCAGTTGTCCTTTCAATTGCATGTGTTTTATGCTTATTGACTCTTATTTCTTTTGTCCTTATCTTCCTATAGGGAAGATGAGTTTGCAAGCGAATATTTGCAATTAGTATTTTTTCATTAGTATTTGCAATTGTTTCATTTGAATCTACATGAATCAACTTTGTTCCCTTTTATTTTTCTTTTCTACTTTTTTGCGAATATTCTGTTGTTGATGCCTTGTAACGTTGTTTCTAATAGCTAGTGGAAAGTAAGAGAAAAGCTCCAATAACTTGTCATGATGAAGAAAGACCGACACACAAACTGCACTTGGTAGATGGAGGTGACCAGGTTTCATCAAAAGACTGCTCAAGACAAGCATTGTCTGTAGAAGACAACGCAGTACCTCGGAAGACTATTAAACAGAAAATCAGTAAACCATCTCAAACTTCCATGGGAGATATGAAGCCCAAAACCAGTTCACAAGCATTGCAGACAAGGTTGGGTGAGGTAGAAATGATCTCAAATTTACCTTGCATGGCTGTTACCAATAGAAAATTGTATCCTAAGAAAGCTTCATCTGCCGTGCACTGTGAAAACCCAATTGATGGACCTAGCTCTTCTCATGTCCAGAGGAGAAATTTGTCAAGTGATCATTATCAGGAGGTTGTGACACCAAAAATTAAGAAACCTAAGTTACTTCTTGGACCTAATTCAACCAGTTACAGAGGTAATCATGACAGCCATATAATTAATCTCTTTCATTATTTTTTTATACATCAACCATGATCAAACTTTCTTCTTTCAATTTAAGTCCTGAAATGTATCCCTTTTTTCTAATTTTTTTCTCAGCATAAAAGATAAGAGTGGATATCTAGAAAGGACAGATTTGTGTTTGAGAGATATAAGATAAAACCATTGAAGGCTCATCGCTTACCAGCTTGAGCTTTTAGGTGTAATGATTGCTTAACAATTTGTAATATCAATGCTACCTATATTTCTGCAAAGATTAAAAAAAAATGTCAAACCCTCAAAAGTTAGGCTAAACAAAAAATTAGAATTGAAAAGAGAAACTGTGCTCAATTATGATTATCATAATAATAGAATGTTCGATAACCTGTAATAGAAGCCTTAAGCACATTTTTATATGTCGTTAATTAACCCTAAAAACATAATTAAAATAAAAATACAAAATTATAAAAATGTCATTGGAATAATTTTTTTTTTATTAAAAATCCATTTTAACAACTCCGAAATGCAAACAAATAAAAAAAATTGCTATCATGCACGGTGCACACACTGTTGAGATATATATATAAAATCATTAATGTAGCCTCACCCAACAGCTTAGGTTTTTGGGTTGAATTGGTTCTTTACACACACAAATGATTTTAAGCCAATCTGTGTTTATTACTTATAAACCATAACTATATTATATTCTATCAACTCAAGACATTCTGCTACTGTCTCAGAAAGGCACATGATATTGTACACTTTTTGTTTAAAGTTTTTTCAATATAACTGTTGTTTAGTGAATTTTTACTGGTTTTCTATAGGCCCTTCTCATGCTTCAAATGGAAATCTTTGTGTCAAATCTCTTCATCAGGATATGCACAAGAAAGATAATAACCCAGCATGCAATAATAACACCCGAACCTATAAGGATGGTATTAATATTGCTTCTTCGCCTTTTGGAGAAGTTAAAATTTCATTAAACTGTGATGCTGCCTTGGGACAACCAAACTTCCATATTCCTAATTTGGATTCTGTTATGAGGTCCATGGATGAGAAATACCTGAGTTCTTGCAACACTGTTGAGTCCCAACTTTCTATGGTGAAGTTATTAGATGATTTATGTGAAAGTTATTTGAAGATGGGCTTGAATTTAAATCGAAATGGATCAAATCTTGTGTATGCCAATTCACACAACACGGCATGTCTACCACAACAATTTACTGAAGATGAAAAGAATTCCTTTCATTTTCTCAGTGACATAACAAAGGGTTCAGAAAATGTTAAAATATCATTATTATATGAAATTGGAAGTGAGGACTTGCCAAAGTTTAATTACATACCATATAATATAATATATCAAAGTGCTAATGTAAATATTTCACTTGCTCGGATTGCGGATGAGGGTTGCTGTTCTGATTGTTCAGGCAACTGTCTTTCGTTATCATTTCCTTGTGCATGTGCTCAAGAAACTGGTGGAGAATTTGCTTACACTCCACAAGGTTTGTTGAAAGAAGAATTTTTAACAATTTGTATGTCTATGAAAAATGATCCAAAAGACGAACATTTTGTGTATTGCCAAGAATGCCCACTGGAGAGGTCTAAGAATGGGATCGTGCTTGAACCTTGCAAGGGGCATCTGGTTAGGAAGTTTATAAAGGAATGCTGGAGGAAATGTGGATGTGACATGCAGTGTGGAAACCGGGTAGTGCAACGAGGTTTAAGATGTAAATTGCAGGTAAACTATTCTCTTAATAATCTTGCAATTTATTTGATGAGAGGTTTCTTTCCTTTCATTAATTTTATTTGTTAGGGCTGTTATATGATGTTATAGCAAGTAAGAATCATGTTTAGGAAAAAAAGTTCTGATGTCTTGTTAGTTGTGATTTGATTCTTTCTTTATTATTATTTTTTGATAGCTTATATGTAATGAAGATATCTTAATCAGTACTTTTCTCTTGACGTGCTGAAGATGTCATCTTTTACCGTTTAAATGTCAGACTAATTAGACTAAATGAATTTAAGTTTGCGGAGGTCATCATCTTGTTGAATCAAACTTCCTATTTATTTTTTGAATCACTACAGTACTTAGATTCTATTAGTGCTTCAACTGTCAATTTACTCACCTTGTTGCAAGTGCCCACATTTTATTTAACAAATCCTGCAAAATGTTTATTTGTTACATTTATGTTTTACTAGTACCAGCCTTTATTTTACAGCTATTCTTGACTCGAGAAGGAAAGGGCTGGGGCCTTAGAACACTAGAAGATTTGCCCAAGGGATGCTTTGTATGTGAATATGCTGGGGAAATATTAACCAATACAGAATTATATGAAAGGACTATGCAGAATAGTGGCAATGACAGACATACATATCCTGTAACCCTTGATGCAGACTGGGGCTCAGAAGGGGTGTTAAAGGATGAGGAGGCACTATGCTTAGACGCAACATATAATGGAAATGTTGCAAGGTTTATCAATCATAGGTACTTCTTAAAATTCAATAACCATATTTTCTAATCAAGATAAAATCAAGCTAGTCCAATTACCTTTTGGCCGAAATTGGACCAGCTCAATCACTTCAGGCCAAAATTCTAATATGTTCAGTTTTTTGTGTCAATATCTACTGTCTTCTTTCTCTCTTTTTATGTTGAACAATCAAGCTAGAAGATAGAACTATTTTTGATAATTCCAAGGTCAATATATGATGGAATTGATAAGGATCATAGAGAGAACTATGAAACCGCTTTTATATGTTTGTCATTGTGATGGACTTTTGTTGTTCCTTTTATGTCAGAGGACATCAGAGTCCAACATTTTTTTTTCCTTCTTTTCTTTCGTTTACATGCAAGAGTGCCAGACTCCATTACTTGTGTCATTTATTCTTTCTCCTTCTCTTTGATTCATCATTACATATGTTCTTTATTTTTTTCCTTTCCTTTTCATCTATCAATTTCTAATATGGTTTCTGTGTTCATGATTCCAGATGCATTGACGCAAATCTGATAGACATTCCTGTTGAAGTGGAGACTCCTGATCGCCACTATTATCATGTAAGAATGTGGTTGATTTTATATTCATAGATTTCCATTTTAACAGGTTAATTTACTTAAATTGATGGCAGACTGTGAAAATCAACTTTTGGGCATATATTTATAGTTTGTTTTGTTCCTCTTCTGTAGCTTGCCCTCTTTACCAACAGAGAAGTTAAAGCATATGAGGAGTTGACATGGGTAAGCGGGTTGGACCAATCCAAGATATTTTGCTTTTTATATATTTTATCTACAAACGTTAATTTTAATTGGTTACTTTCAATTGGTTTGCAAAGCATTTTTTGTTTGTGCAAATAGGATTTTCTAGTGTTGACTCCTTAATGTTCTGCGATAAAAAGTCTATGAAGGTGTTTTGTACAGTAAACGTATCTTTATTCTCAAGTATATTGGACACATTGGTATAAATGGCCCAATTGAAAAAAGGAAACATGGATGATCCCATGTTTGATATGTAATTAAAAATTATCAAAGAAATGACACAGCTGATAATTTATGATGTTGGTAAAGGCTTAAACTTGGAGTTGCTATGCAAAGCCTGCAATTTTTATGGAATCATATGCCTGTAAGCATCTTAAATGCAGTGTTATAATCCTATACTTAACACACAAGATACAGGCATGTAACTCAAGTATGTATGCCTTGACGAAGATGATAGTGTACTAAACACCTAAGTTGAACTTTGTACTTGTCAGAAGTTTCTGTGAAGTTGTTTAAGTTTCCTCAAGACTTTGAGAAATTATTTGCATAGTGTACTAAACACCTAAGTTGAACTTTGTACTTATCAGAAGTTTCTGTGAAGTTGTTTGAGTTTCCTCAAGACTTTGAGAAATTATTTGCAGGATTATGGTATTGACTTTGATGATCATGACCATCCTATTAAAGCATTTCAATGTTGTTGTGGAAGTGGCTTGTGCCGTGATAAGAAACAAAAAGGTCAGTAAGATAATTTGGTCTTAATCATGCAATCCCATGTTAGAATTTAACCTTTTTCCTTTTTCTAATGTATTTTCTCGTTGTTATTCTTTTTCAAAGAGTGGTTGTATATATGGTTTTAAAATCACAAATATGGTTTTAAAATCACAAATATGGTAGATTGAAATTTTCCCATTATCCGTTTTAGTTGTTGGATTTAGATGTAAATTCAATGTTAATTGTCCATTTATGTGACCATCTGTAAATATAAATTATTTCTTTTGGAATTGTGAGATTGCTAGGCAGTTGTGGGGTAGATTGATTTTGTCATCCCTTTCTTTAGATTTTATTGTCTGCCTGTTTTTGGGACTTTGGGATAATAGAGGAAAAGCGGGTGTGGAGTTGCACTTTTGTTCTGGCAAGTTGTGGCATTTGGTTAGGCAAGAATTTTTAGATGGTGGACTTTATAGCAGTAAACCTTCCTTGGATTTAATAGTTTTCCTGGCTTCTTTTGTGGTTTTATGCACATAATTTAAGGATGTTTTATTTTCAAATTTGTAAAGGGTTTATATGAGCTCTTTTGATCTAATTTTTTTAATTATTTCTTCTTGTAGAGTTCCTGATCCTCCTGTTCTGCATTCTTAACAATTTCCTCTTTTATTAAAAAATTATTATTCTCTTTCTTTTGTTGCTCCTGCAGGAATATAGAGTTGTAGAGTCTAGGAAACTTGTAAACGAAACACCTAACTTTCCAAAACAAATCGGTTGCTTGGTAGTTAAGAGATACTGCTCTAGCAATAGATTTTTAATTTGAAAATAGGGATATAATTTAACTTTTTTTAACCTTTTTAACCACTCCCCAAAGTGTGGGGGTGAGAGCAATCTTTGTACGCAACCTTATTGCAAAGAGGCTGTTTTTTGGATTTGAATCCGTGATCTTTCAGTCACAAAGAAACAGTTTCAATAGGGATATAATATTATGATTAATTTTTAGAGATAAAAAAAAAGTGATATGTAAAGGCAAATGTAATAATGACTGCAAAAAGGGTATGGGCTTTTATATGAGGTAATTGTCGTTTACATAGCTTTGATCATGCAAATAGGTGGAGTTTGCTTTAGTCGTTTGACAGGCATACCCATAATTTTCCTGTTCTATTTGTAAATTACTTGTGACATGCTTACAGTGTTTAATTTTTTTGGACAGGAACTAGATCAATGAAAACTAAAAAACTCAAGGTTAAGGAGACACATGCATCCAGGAGTAGAAGTTGATATTTTGATTGCTTTTTATTTTATTTTTTCACCCATCGGTTATTTGCATAGAGTAGGCAATCAATATTGGGAAAAGTTCATAAACTCCCCTGTAATTTACTCTTTTATCATTTATACCCCTATGTTTTTTTTTATCAATTATTTCCTGTGTTTTTTTTCATCCAAGTCCACCTACAACACTATTAGTAATAAGATTAACTTGTTTATTTTACCCTTATTTCATGTCCAGGGTTTTGTTTATCACAAATAAAATTTGACCCTAGAAATAATAATGATGACAAAGTGTACTTGATTATGACTAGAAAAAATAACATGTAATTCCAACAAAGCTCGACACAGTTGGTAGATGGTTGGATCTCTTAAGTATGCTGACAGGGGTTAGATACTTGACTGTGTATGAAAAAGTTTTGATGGTAGAGGCAAAATTCACGTCGGTGATCTTTATGCCTCGAAAGGATTAAATCTTGAAGAAAATTCACAGAGGTAATTTATAGTTAGAAGTGACCAAATGAATGAAATCACATTAACTATAAAAAAAAAAAAAACAATCATAGTGCAATGGCCCCAACATTAATATACAAATTAAGGTCTCTTTATCTTTTCCCTCTTATCTATATAATTTAATATTAATATTATATTATGAGAAACGATTTTTATACACTATATTTTTTATATAATTTCTTATACTTTTTTATATTTAAAAATGAAAAAAATATTGAATATATATATAGGTATATGAAAAAATATTTTTCTTGTCATTTGTGGTGAAGTTATCTCTTATAATTTTAAAACTATGTCGCTGTCGTTGTGAGGGTTGATAGAATTAATAAATGTTGTTTTGGTAACTTTGTTTGTTTTTTATTAATTTTTTTTACTAAAATATTCTTTATTAATTCTTCCAACCCCCAAAACAGTATAGTTTTGGGGTTGTAAGAGATAGGAGAAACGATAAACTCATATACATACATATATATGTATATAAGTGGGATCAACGATCAAGATTGAGAGTGTAATTATATTTTTAGTTATACTATATGGGGAATAATCCGTTTATAATTTTTTTTACAAATTACACTAAGTATGACCGGTTGACAGGTCATACATAGTGTAATTTGCAAGAGTTTGTAAACAAAAAATTTGTAAATATAACCTTTCTATATATATATATATATAACTAAAAGTATAGTATAAAATTTAAGAAAATAATATAAGTGATGTGTAAATAATATTGTTATAATAACATAAAAAGAATAAGACGATAGTTGCCTATGTTGCACTGACACGGGACACGATACGACATGTCGATATATTAATTCTAAAAAATGTTATATTTAAACACATTTAATATTTTTAATATATGTAATATAGTTTATATTTAATACATATAACAGCCCATAATAAATCGTATAATCAATCAAATATTCAAATTTTATAACATTAATATAAAGAAAAAATAATTTTTCATGCTTTTCATGTGATATTTCGTAAGTGAAAATATTTGATTTATAAATTAATTTTTTATGTTTAGTTAAAAAGATAAAATAAAATAAAATAAAATTCGGATCTAAAAAAAGTGTCAGAAAACATTGACTTTGTGTCTGAGCGTTGGTCGCTTGTCGAGACACACAATTTTTATAAAAATATGTGTATTGGTGCTTCTTAGATAGTTGCTTGCCAAACAATTTGGAATTGGTTCAAGAATAATAAAAGAAATATCTCTTTGTTTAAAAGTGATTATATTCAAAATTTCGAATTTAACCTTTTTGTGATTTTTTTTAGGGATGTTATGTATATTTTGTGAAACATTTGAACAGGACAGTGTACATGATTGTTCTTCGTGTCTTTATAATTCACCTAAACTTGGCTTATTTATTGCTGGTTCCCAAATTTTTATATCAAATTAATTAACAAGTAAAATAAGAATAAAATAGGCAAGTTAGTTCAATTATTAACAGTGTTAAAGATGAATTTGGATGAAGTAACACATGGGATAATTGATAAGAAAAAAAGTATAGGAATATAAGTGATAAAAAAGTAAATCATAAAATAATTTATGAACTTTTTCCATCAATATTTTCAAGCGATTTATTATTCTTGCAGTCGCTGTAAATGGCAGTCACGTAGATGAGATTTTGTGACAAATTTTTTTTTTTTGGAGTTACCCAATCCTAATTATCTTTTTGAGACGAGTTGGCTCCCTCTGGTATCCCCACGAGCTTCGACTCTTTGAGCCGGCTATGGGACTAATCCGGAGTGCGGGAGAACAGTGATGGCTAAAGGTTCAACCCCCTCCCCAAGAATGCATTCAGCGGGAATCGAACACATATCCAACCCCACTAACTCAGCGCCAAGTTACCAACTGAGCTGCACCCATTGGGTATTTTTGTGACAAATTTATGATAGGAATTCTTGTATACTTCACAAATTTTCGAACAAACTTTTTTAGCAAGTTTTGAGCTGGGAAAATAAAGTTAGGAATGTGAATATCTCTTGGATTACTTATATGTTAAATCCGTAGGGGATATTTGGTAGAGGAAATTTTGTTTTTATTTGGGAATCTCAATTTTCAGAAATATAATTTTTACATTCAATTTACGATAATATCTGAAAATTAAAAATTTAAAAAAATTCAATTTCCCGAGAATCTCCAAGAATCTCGCGTACCAAACGAGCCCTATATACTCTTTTTCTTTCTGGTAAAGTATGTTTTGTATCTTATTTTTATTTTTTATGGATTCTACAAATTATTCAGTTTCTTATTTTGATACACGGTACATGAAATATTATGTTACATGATATTTCTACACACACAATTGAAATGAGAGAAAAGAAAGGAGAAAGAAGAGAGAAAAGTCAAAAGAATAGGCCATATACAATTGTGTGTATAGAAATATGTAACATGATATTTGATTTATGGTTTGATGTAATAAGGCAAAGCCCGAGTAAGAAACAAATGAACAAAACAAGGCCAACAAATTCAGATGCAAGCTCCATCAGCTTGAGTTTTAATGTATCTTCATTAGTTATGATATTCATACAGAGGGAGGATATTCTTACTACTCACATTTTCTACTACTAACTTACTACCTATCTAATCACCATTGAATCAAAGAGAGAGAATGTTAAAAAGTTTTTGAAAAAGGAGAAAATGTTGATCCAATGGTGATTTGATAGGTAGTGAGTTGGTAGTAGAAAATTTTGGTAGTAAGAATATCCCTCTTCGTTCATATAACGTAAACCATTCAATAGTAATGAATTACCTACTGAATAATGCATACCTTTTAGATGACTACTGAAATTATTAATTTGTAAGCCATGATCAATACGAGAACTTTTTCAACTCTATGGATGTACTATGTTTTCGATACATCTTCTCACGAAATATAAAATGTGTTTTACTTTCATCAAATTATTAATAAATAATTTATTTTAAGAGAAAGTTATATGTACTACTATTTTTTTTAGTAGGCTATAAGGGAAAAGTCCAGAAAAAAAAGAAAGACGAAAAGAGATAAAACTACTCTATCCTATACCCCTAGGCAGAGTACCAGTTCTGCAGTCAGCTTGAAGAAGAGTAACAAGAGACCGAGGGGTTCCTGAAGAACGTGACAATCTACAGCTCTGGATAAAGCCTCCTTTGCTAACAAGTCTGCGCATGCATTATAGGAACGTGATGTGATGTGTAGCTGAGCTTAACTATCCGGTCTCTACTCAGCCAAGCTCGAATACGAGTCACCAAATGAGATAGCTTGCTGCGAGTCCCCTTCGATTATAACATTATTGAGGTCGTGCTGCCAGGCCCCTTCGATTATAACATTATTGAGGTCGTGCTGCCAGGCTAGCTCAAGAACTTTAAGGATATATCTCCCAGAGCTCAGCTATAAAGGGCTCACATCTACCAATAAAGCATATAAAACCACCTTTCCATTCCCCATTATGGTCCCTTGCTAGCCCCCCACGGGAAGCTCTTCCATTGTTTTGAGCAACTGCCGCATCAACATTAATCTTCATCCAACCCATCGGTGGGGGGATCCAGCCAACGAGCTGGTTGCCCGTTGGTGTATCTGTCGGTGGACTGAGTTATCCTTTTCAGTTGTATATACTACTATTTTAGTCTTATTATTCTTACTACTTGATTAGTTATCGTCAGATCAATTTAAAATCAACTTTAATAAATTTTTTCTATTTTTTAACCGTGGATTTCAAATTAAATTAACTGTAACTAACCAGGTAGTAAGAGTAGTAAGCCTTATTTTGTCTGGACGACAGAGATGTCTAGTTTAAAGACTAGTGTATTTATGTTGGATTGATTACTCTCTCTAAGATATCTATGAATAAATCACTATAAACCACTGATAACAGCATTAGCTAATGGGGAGATGTATGTGCACAATGATAACATATAGTTCAAGAGAGAGATTACCCATACTTACGGGTGTTAACAGGCCGGGCCGAGCTGAACTTTGGTCTTAAAAAGTTAAGTCTGTGTTTAAATGTGTCAGCATGACCAAACTCGTTACCTGTTATAAATATAATTATAGGTTTGTGGCCTGGTTTATTTACAAAAAAAAAAAAGCTTGGTTTAGCCTGTTTAAAAAAAATAAGACAACAAAAATTTATCCAAACAGAATATATAATCAACAACACTAGTAATTTCATAAATATTCACAAATTCATTGTATACCCAAACAACATAATATAGAACAAAATCGTTTAAAAAGTTTGTTTAACCAAAAAAATAGGATGAAATGGATTGAGGAGAAAGAGAGGGCTATTACAAGTAGTATGGAAAATATAAAATATAAATAAAAAATAATATATTAGGCCAGCCCGATAGGCTCTAAGGCCGAGCTTTTGAATTGGAGCCTAAAGCCTTTTTATTAAACGAGCTTTTATACAAGTTCAAGCCTGATGCCAACAATCAATTTTAGACATGTAAGCTCAGATCTTCACTAGTCGAGTCAAAGACCCCTGGTTCGTTTAGCACCCCTACTCATACTTATAAACCTTACCGCTTATTTATAGAGTATTACCTAGTTATTGAGCTTTTGGACCTTTATTGACCAAAATCCAATTGTATAGCTGTCATGATAGAATCATTATTAATGACTTTTCTTTATTATTACCTTTATTGGACTTTCTAGTCTTTATCAGGTTCATAACAAA